TCGCCGTCCTGTTCCAGCACAACCTCCTGTATTGGCACACTGACTACTGGGCAAACATCACTTTGTACGAGGCCAATGTAGCCCGCGCCTACCACCTGATCCGGACGGGCAAGATCTTGGAGATGGTCGAAAGCTCCATGGGTACCCCTGCAAAGGATGTAATCCAGAATCTCTTCCTGCTCGGCCAGACGCGCCTCGGCGACCTGATGGACGCATACCAGCAAAAGATTGAAAGGGCGAACGGGACGATCGGCGATGCTCATGCCGATTTGGAAGGCGAGGGTGCCGACGAAGAAGCACCTAATGGTGTCAACGGCGATGTGCCCCATCCGAAACCTAAGGACGACCTCGTCATCAAGAGCACTGCGCACCTGAACTCGGTCCTCTGCAACCTGGTAAAGGCGGATCTCGTCGAGGTGCTCCACAAAAGATCGTTCAACAGCCCCGAGGACATCGAGAACGACGTGATTGACGAGGTGGAAAAGAACCTCTATCCGCTCGGCGTCAAAGGAGGCAAAGGGAAGCAGGAATTCGACGATAAGGTGGCCGAATATCTGCGCAAGATCCGAGCAGACTCCAAGACTCTCAAGCGTAAGCTCGATTACAGCAGCTCGTCTGGTGCGAAGCGGCGGAAGCTCTTCAACGGAGGTGGCACCAACGGGACCAATGGGGTCAACGGCACCAACGGCGTCCACGAGGAGGACGAACACGACCTAGATCCTCGACTTGATGTAAGTGCGAAGCTAGCGGCGTCGCAGTAGGGAGCAGAACTGATGCCATCCGCAGCCTGACGTGGTCGTTCGTGTTAACTACGAGAAGTGCATTGTTAACCTCCGGAACCGCCGCCTCGTCCAGGCCGCCATCGAGGTATACGGGGAGACCACCGGCCACGTGTACGCCGCCGTCCTGAAGCAGCTGACCAAGAACCTCGCCCGTTGCCGGCTGGACCCCAAGATGGACTTTGGCACTATCGACGAGGAAGACGAGCCGCTCCCTGCCGAGTCTGTGCGGACGCTCGACATTCTCGACAACATAAAGACATCCCTCGACCTATCCTTCGGCATCGGGAAGGCTCCATCTAGCGAGATCTCGCGGAAGGCGGCCGAGCAGCTGCAAAAGGACCCCCCGCTGGAGCCTATCTTCGTGCCCGAGGTCGAAGTCGATGGCGATGCGAGCAGCGACGAGGATGAGGACGAGAGCGATGCGTCCTCGGATGCGGGCTCGGACGACCTCATGCCGGAGCCCGACACCAAGATGAGCGGCACCGCCAACGGCAAGGTCAAGTTCGCTGATGCAGCAAACCTGAAGGAAGAACCCCGCGCCGACCGCCCCACGCAGCTGCGGCAGCACCTGCTGTTGCTGTCCGAGAGCGACCACGGATTCCTCCGGCACTGCGGCCAGCAAGAGTGGACGGTCGATTTCGATCGGCTCATCCGCCGGCTCCGCGAGGAAGAGCTGGACGCCACCATCGAGAAGGTGTCGGGTCGCAAAGGCCTCCGCCTGGTCCGCATCCTCCGCCGGAACGGCAAGCTGGACGAGAAGACGCTGCAGAGCGTCAGCCTCCTGACCAAGTCGGAGGTGCAGCCCAAGATGCTAGAGATGCAGCTCGCGGGCTTCGTCCACATTCAGGAGGTGCCCAAGGACAGCAAGGCGGATCCCAAGAAGTCCATCTTCCTGTGGTTCTGCGACACGGACCGGTCCTTGGGCCAGCTGCTGGATTCGTCCTACAAGACAATGGTTCGCACCTTGCAGACACTGGAGGTGCGGCGCCAGAAGGAGAAGGACGTACTGGACCTGACGAAGCGGACAGACGTGCGGGGGCGCGAGAAGGAGGTGATGCGCAAAGAGTACTTTGACCGGTACTCGCTGTTCCTGGAGCAGGAGCGCAAGCTGTTCGGCCAGATCATGCGGCTCGACGATTTGATCGGACTCCTTCGCGACTTTTAGCGTCGGACGCCCCCCAAGGCGCCTGAAGCATGTTTTCAGTCACCACGAGTTGCATCGGCGGCGTCTAGGCATATGTTGTCATGGTGCATTTGCACGGCGTTAACTGCTAGTATGTCTTTTTTTTTGCCTGGCAAGGCAGGCAGGGGCTATATCCAGATGAGCGGTCTCTCCTGCCCGGATGGACAGACCAAGGGACAAAGGACTTTCAAAAGCGCAAGGGGGGAAGGGGGACATGCCAACAGTAGGCCAACGCTGTAGAATGCTATATACACGTTTGCTCGGCTACTGTTTTGCGAGGGAATTGCCCATGCCCTAACTGCCTGCACTGTGACCTTCGCTGACCTACCTAAGAATTTGGTTAACAGTGGCCGAGTTGGCTCCGTAGGGCCGGGAAGGCTTGTTAGGCATAGTATTGGCTGGTCTAAAGCGGCCGTTCAGCAGCTACAGTAGGGTCCATTTATTGGGGATAGTCCACTACGCAACGCCTGCGTCCATACTGCCAAGCAGTCCGCTGTACACCCGAGCTAGATGCTTTTCTAGGATAGAAGATACTTTCACGGGCAATTCTGTAGTTACTAACCGCCGGCCTCGTCTTTTTCAGTGCATGTGAACTCTTTGCGTCGTGCATTGCATGCTCGTGTGATCGAATAGCTGCTGCCAACGGCCGCAGGGACCGTCCCAAGCATATAGCCCTGGGCCAATACCGGCGTGGCACGCCTAAAAATTTCAGGGATCACCCACTGTCCCGCTAAACCATTCCGCTCTCGGAGCTAGTGAGGTGCAAGGTTGGCCCAAGCTTCAAATTTTTGCCAAATTTCCTGCGCGCATGAGCACATCGGGGATTAAAATCGCTATCATTGCGGGAGCAGTCGGTCCATACTCCGTAGAAGCTTTTTTTTTCCTCACCAAGGTTGTAATACGCTTTCTCTGTCACTCATTTTCTCCCCCTCCCCTCACCGTTTGTCGCTGCCCCCCCCTCGGCTCGTTCTTTTGCGTCCATTGGTCTCTTGTGCATCCAGTTTATCGCCGAATCCATCCTTCGCCAACATGTCACCCCCAGTGGCTGCCGGACAACAGAAGGAGTCGAACCTGGCTCGTCTGCTGGGATCCGGTGCGGTTGCTCCCCCAGTCTGGGTAGAAGGCGCAGAGGGGCTAATAGAAGTGCAGGCTCGGCGGGCATCGCCGAATTGGCTGTCTTCCACCCGGTACGAACCCGCTGCAGGCCATGCGAAGGCGCCCGGAAATACCACTAACAAAGCGGTGGGCAGGTCGACACAATCGCGAAGCGGCTCATGAGCAACGAGACGAAGGTACGGCTGCACCAGGGGGCCGCTCCAGCGTGACCCCCGGCTCCCTACACTCCCGAGACGTACCAGTGCTGACGGGCGCGGGCGTGCGTACACAGGTATCCGGTCTCTCGCAGCTCAACTCGGTCATCTTCAAGGACAAGGCCTCGGCGCCGCTGGGGCGCAAATTCGTCTCCCTGTTCCCGGGTCTGGGCTATGCGGCGGGCTATAAGGTGCTGCAGAGGATATACAAGTACGGCGGCCAGCCGGTGGCGCGCGACTACCTGACGGCGCACTACGGCCGTGACTTCGAGAACGCCTTCGGCAAGAAGACGGGCAAGGCCATCCTGCACTCGACCGCCGGAAGTCTGATCGGCATTGGCGAGATCGTGCTCCTGCCCCTCGATGTCCTCAAGATCAAGCGCCAGACAAACCCCGAGGCGTTCCGCGGCCGTGGCGTCCTTAAGATCGTCAAGGATGAGGGCTTCGGCCTGTACCGCGGCTGGGGCTGGACGGCGGCCCGAAACGCCCCCGGCTCGTTTGCGGTACGTACTTGACGGTGCCTGCCTCTCGTGACCCGCATGCTAACGGTGCACAGCTCTTCGGCGGCTCCGCCTTCGCCAAGGAGTTCCTCTTCGGCCTCCAGGACTACAACAAGGCGACGTGGTTCCAGAACTTTATCGCCTCCATCGCCGGCGCCTCGGCCTCGCTCGTCGTGTCGGCGCCGCTCGACGTCATCAAGACGCGCATCCAGAACCGCAACTTTGACAACCCCGAGAGCGGCTTCCGCATCCTGACCAACATGGCCCGGCACGAGGGTTTCTCCAGCTTCTTCAAGGGGCTCGTGCCTAAGGTAAGCCTGCAGCCCCCCTCCCCGCTAGAGCTCTACAACTGACGCGCCTCGCAGCTGCTCATGACCGGCCCCAAGCTGGTCTTCTCCTTCTGGTTGGCGCAGACCCTGATCCCTGCATTCGATGCCGCCATCACTGGCAAGAAGTAGACCGGGAGAGAAAAGGAGATGGCGGAGAAGCGATGGCTTGGTGTCCAAAAGAAAAAGGGATGGGAAATGTTTTATACACACTCGGGGAACGTCTCTATATACGAGACTACCGGCAGTAATGCGGGAGGTTCATGAAGTCAGGCGTTTGGGGGGATGAGCCTAGACACGCGCACAAGCGGACCTTGTTCCGTCGGCCCGCTTGGCCATATCGACTCTTGGTCGAAATACTTTTACTACTAGACGATCCAGATAAGGACAATGTATTCTCAACTCTTCAGCTGATACTGTTAGTATAGCTATGCGGTAAGATCCATTATTCTAGGAACCCGTCGTCATGTTGGCAGTGCATTGGGGAAGCCACGGGCCGAGTGAGTCTTCTCCATGCTCACATTTCTTGGAGAATCTACACTTAATTATGTCTTACATGTGCTGATTTATATCGCACAGCAAGCACGAACTCGTCACGTCAGGGACTGGGTGCACTATCTCAAGTGCATAGATGCAGGAAAAAAATCCATGATAGGATAGAAACCCAAAGGTAGTTGGACCCGAAATATGGTGTGGGTTGTGGGCCCAGCATTTTCAGATTGAATCGCGGGCACAATCAAGATCCTCACCCAGATTCTCTCTTCCAGAAAGCAAGAGCCAGCTTGCGCAGGAAGGAGCGGCCACGACAGAACTTTTCTAGATCGATTACTAAAGGGAGAAAAAACTGGATATCCTCATGAGAGTGAGAAGATGGAAGATGCCAAGTAAGAGCAAAAAGATGACCACGCTGGGGGTCGAACCCAGAATCTCCTGATGTCTACGATATCGTAGTCAGACGCCTTGCCATTGGGCCACGCGGCCGATGTTGTTTGTTGATGAATGGATGGCTGTCAGAGATAATTAAAGCACGCAATATGATTCCTCGTTTCGATCTGCAGGAGCAGGGATGGAGCAGGGATATAGGAGGGGATGAACCAGGTCTGACTCGTACATACAGTACCGGAGAAATTAGAGTGTTGGACCACCCCCCTGCTGGCACTACTGTAAGAGAATGGCAACACTTACCATTCTCTATGGTAAAGCGCTCAGTACCATGTAGAAATACGGCGTATACCGGACTATTATGTTCTCTTCGCCATGTTATTCCGGGAGATCAACTCACCTAAACCTAGTGAAGCTGGACAAAATGAGGAAAATCTTTAGTGGGGTCCTCCAAAGGGGTGGTACTAGTAGCTGGTCTATCATGAACACTACAGTATACGGGGCCAACTGAAGACATGCCCGTGCAGCCAAGTACTCTGGCTATTTTATTGTCATTTAAACTCTACGAGTTATAGAGACAACTTCTCTGGGTGGTCGGTGTTTTTTGGCACGATGTCCTCCGTTGCTCCCTCCATGATACTAAGCCAGATTGCCCGCTCGTTTGATGGCTTTCACAGCGGACAGCAAGCGGGCAGACTCCACTTGGATTTCTAAAGTGAACGCGAAAGCCGGAAAGAGAATGAACAAGTAGGCAAGCCTCCAGGTATAATCACAGCTGCTTTGCAAGGAGGCCAGCGCACACGCTGGGGAGCGTCCAAGGTGTTTCGGCTGCTCGAAGCATGCCCTTGGCGCTGCTAGCATCGTGGCGAATATCGTGGCGATGCGAAAGGCGCTGATATTGAAAGGGAAACGTTATACGTACAAGCACAGCAGACGTGCCGGCCTAAGTACTTCGTCTAACTCTGAAGCTGGCTCATCCATGTTTGAGCGATCACAGCACACAGCTGCCACCAGGTGCGAGTCAGCTGCTGGTCGGACCGGGACAATATCGTGAACATCCCCAGTCCCCGATTATCACGAAAGACAACATCACTTACGCCGGGAAGGTGACGTCGTAAGTATGTCATAGTGCCATAACCACTATGTATTTGAGGCATGGGATGGTATTTTTGGGGCCACTATGTGCATGACTGCGCCAGCGATCCGTAGTCTAGCTACTGGCGGTACCAGCCGCAATACTGAAGAACTGAGCACATGAGCTCAGTGGCCCACCGATTAACATTGGCTATACTGACCACGCTGAGCAACTGGCTTGCCGACCGTAGGAGTGTGCTGAACAGCCGAGCAACATTGGTCGTTTCCACTGCTTTAGTTGTATAGTGATTGTGAAACATACGGCTGGCCACGGCACAGCCAACTATCGTAAATACCTGCGTACAATGATGGCCAACCCTTCCTTTCGGCATAATACCTAAATTAGATATATCATGTAGCTTATGTGGATTTTCAATAGTCTCTCTGCTTTTCATTTACTAGTTCCAACCGTGATACCGTGGTGAATCTTCGGATGAGACGTTCACTAGCATTGCGTCTCTTGCCTCTCTCCCGACGTGCATCGTGCCTTCCTAACGCACTCAGGACAGCAGGCCGAAAAACCTCCAGGCTTTGCACCATGATTTATTTTCTTCTTCTTCTTCTTCTCCTTCTCTCCGAGTTCCCAGCCCAGCGTCGAGTTCAAATGGAGTGGTCTAGGATGTGACCGCCAATCGCTGCTCCCTTACTCTTGTGATCATTGCCCCTTTCGACTCGAACCGCTGTAATAAGCTCCCAATCTGCCCCTAGACGCCAATTGTGACTTGTCACCCTTCAGGACTTCATTAACGAACTCCTCGAAGACTACGATCTGAGTTGGTTAGAATCCCACCATGATGAGGGGACGCTCGAAGACCGCCATGCTCGAGAATATGCCAGAATGTCCGCGGTCACGGACGAGATAATTTGCCGCTGGAGAGACCGGTTCGACGGGCTCGCACCTCTAAAGATGGCCAACTCCGGCTCCTGCTCCGGCAGCGCCCGCTCCCCGCGGCCAAGCGCCGCAGAGAGAGGGTAAGACACATCATCTCCTAAACTCTATAAACTTGATACCCCTGCCGGTGCCGCCGCTCCCGTCCCCGCCCAAGTCTGAGGACGAGGACGACAAGGATGACGTGGACAACAATAATAGTATTACCAGTTGATAGAATGAAACAAGAGTCCTATTTTTGATGGCGTAATGACTGTGTTTACGCCTAAACCAAGTTTCTATTTTCGGTTCCAGTATGCATGTAGACTCTACACAGTGCACAAGGGTCAAAATCCACCGGATATCTCCCTCCTGCTTCACTCATTAGTAGCAGGCGAGACCGCCGAGGCTAGGTCCTAACGCCCCGAGCCTCACAGCCGACGTCTATCACATGGCAGGTCCCGACGATCCCGCCTTTGCACGGCGCTTCTGGGGAGGATGGCGCATGGTACATCCCTTTCCCACCTACTGCTTCAAAGACAGCTTCTCGAACTGGGCAATGGTCTCCTTCAGATTTTCTGCGGTGATCTCGGCAGTGGCTAGCTTGGCGTATTCTTGGTCGCGGATGGCCTCGCTTGTGCGCTCCTTCCAGTCGCTGCTCTCGACCACCTTGCGCTGCTTGGACACGTTCTCGACGGCCTTGGTCAGCTTCTCCTTGGTCTTGGCGATCAGGGTGGCGTCGACGGTCTCGGCGACGTCTAGGAAGACGGTGATTGTGTTCGAAGCCGTGTACACGGCAGAGCCCGGCGGGACGGCCTCGGCGTCCTTGAGGATTGTGATGGTGCCGATGGCCTTGGTGGACAGGGCGCGAACCTGCGCCTGCTCGGCCTCGATCAGAGCCTGCTGGGCGGCGTCGGTGGCGACAATGTAGGCCTTGCCGTCCTGCTTGACGTTGTAGTCGGACAGGAGCGAGCGCACACCGCGAGAGCAGTCGAGTAGAATACCGTACTGCTCGGCCGCCGCTTCGTCGCGGAGGGCCTCAGTATAGGTAGGGTACGACGCCACGACGATGGACGGGGTCGCATCCTCGGGACGGCGCGGAAGCCGCTGCCACAGCTCCTCCGAGACGAAGGGCATGAAGGGGTGGATTAGCTTCAGTCCGCCTTCGAGCGCCGTGTACAGCGTGTCGACGGCGCTCTTCTGCTCCTCGGGCGTGCCGTCCGAGATGATGACCTTGGAGTTCTCGATGTAGACGTCACAGAGAGACTCGAGCCAGTACTGGTAGACGATCTGCGACGAGCGCGAGAACTCGCGGGCCTCCAGCGCGTTGTGGATGTCCTGGGCCGCCACGTTGAACTTGTGGAGGATCCATCGCTCAGGCAGCGTCTCCTTGCCCGTCTTGTCTGCCGTCTTCGGCGGCACGTAGCCGCTGGGCAGCTTGCCGAGGACGTACTTGGTGGCCTGGTAGATCTTGTTACCTGCGAGACTTGGTTAGCACCTAGGCAAGGGCGGAGGAGCAAGGGAAGCGCTCACAGAACCGCCGGTAGCCAGCCATCTGCTTGATGTCGAAATTGATATCGCCGCCGCCGGTCGTGTAGTTAATCAAGCTGAAGCGGAGGGCGTCTGTGCCGCACTCCGGGATACCCTGGGGGAAACTTTCCTTCTGGTTCTTGCTGGCGATGTCATACTCCTTCTCGTCGAGGTTGCCGAGCTTCAGCTTCTCCTGAAGTGCCTCAAGTGTGCAGCCGTCTATGACATCCACCGGGTCGATGACGTTGCCGAGACTCTTGGACCTAGATTTCTGTCAGCTTTTCCCCACAGCGAACTGCCGAGACCGGGAGGCACTCACATCTTGCGTCCCTGAGCATCGCGGATGAGGGAGTGCGTGTACACCTCCTTGAAGGGAACCTTGCCCGTGAGAGCGATGCTGAGCATGATCATGCGAGCCACCCAGAAGAACAAGATGTCCCAGCCGCTGCCCATTTGTCAGTATGGATCCTGAGAGGAAGAATGTGTCCGGAGGGGGCTACGTACGTTTCGAGGACGGAGGTCGGGAACAGCTCGCGAAGGTCCTGGGTCTCCTTCGGCCAGCCGAGCGTAGCAAACGGCCACAGACCAGATGAGAACCACGTATCGAAGACATCCTCATCCTGGTGTAAGGTGAACTCCTTGCCAGGGTACTTGGCAGCGGCCTTCGCCTTGGCGTCGGCCTCGTTCTTGGCCACGATCCACCGCTCCTCAACCTCAGGCCCCTCAGCCTCGCCGACGAACTTGACGTAATAGGCGGGGATCCGCTGTCCCCACCACAGCTGGCGCGACAGGCACCAGTCGTTGATACCCTCGAGCCAGCGGAAGTAACTCTTCTCGGAAGACTCGGGGCGGATCTTGATATCGCCGTCGCGGACGGCCGCGATGGCGGGCTTTGCCAGGTTCTCCATGCGCATCCACCACTGGGGCTTAAGGAGGGGCTCGACGACGTCCTTGGACTTGCTGCAGAGCCGGATGCTCATGGGGTTGTTTTCCTTCTTCACGAAGAGGCCTAGCTTGGTCAACTCCTCCAGGAGGTTGTACCGAGCGTCGTAGCGCTTCTGGCCCTCAAAACGTCCCGCATTCTCGTTCATCGTGCCGTTATCGTTGAGGATGTTGATGGACTCAAGTTTGTGCCGCACGCCCATGCTGAAATCGTTCTGATCGTGGGCGGGAGTGATCTTGACGGCGCCGGTACCGAAGTCCTTCTCGACATATGTATCCGCAATGATGGGGATCTTCCGGTCTAGGAACGGGTGCCGGATGAATTTACCCACGAGGTGCTTGTAGCGCTCGTCGTCGGGGTGGACGGCCACGGCCGTATCGCCGAGCATGGTCTCGAGACGAGTGGTAGCGATCTCAATCGTCTCATCGGAACCCTCAATGGGGTACTTGAAGTAGGTGAGCACTCCAAACTCCACTTTCTGTGTAGCCGCTGAAGTCAGCATGGCGCCCCTGGACAATGACAGAGTTATCTCCATACCCTGTCGTACCCGGGGACGTCTAGAAGCGTCCTTCCTGGGAGCTCCTTTGTGTCGACCTCGAGGTTCGATATCGTTGTGTTGAGCTT